TTTTTTTTTTTTTTAATTTTTTGCCCCCTTTAAAAACCTTTTTTAATTTTTTTTTTTTTTTTTTTTTTTTTTTTTTTTTTTTTGATTTTCTGTTGTTAATTCTGTCACTGAATGAATAGAATATTGATGAAAAAATCCATCGACCTTTATCAATTGCGTATTCAATCAAAGATTCGTATTTTTTCAATCTTTTTCTCCCTTGTTTTTGGCAAATATTTTACAGGTGTGTTTTTCGGTTGGTCCAAATTTTGTTTTTGTTTGGTTTTGTTTTCTGATTACAGAATAATAATAATAATAATAAATTCTTTTCCTGTGTTTTCGAATGATTCTTCCGCATTTTTGTGTGTGTTTTTAGTTTTACTATAGCCATAACCAGATCTTTTTCTTTTTTTTGTTGTTGTTCCGTTCATTTTACCCACATGCTGTGTTGCTAAATGTGTGTAGCAACTAAGTACAACCAAAATTTTGTATGACAAATTTTGTAATTGGAATTATCCAGAAAAACAACAAAATTAGAAAGGAATGATCAAAATGGATGTTGTTGTTTGGTTTGAACCCGATTTTTTTCCCATTCATTCATATTCATCGAATCAAGCAAGTGTAAATGTAAGCGTGTGTGAGTCACACTTTTTTTGCAGTTATTATTGTCGTTTGATTTTGATTCTGATTCGTTGGGTGAAGATTCAACATCGGCTATCGGTTCCATGTTCTGTGTCGATGCGAGAAATAAAATTTCACTTTTATTGAGAAACAATGGACAACTTGGGACAAATTTATTGTTTTTCAACGAAAAAAAAAATTACAAAAATCATCTTTTTACCTAAGCAATAAATTGGAAAGAAAGAGGGAGTAAAAACCTTTTTCTTTTGCCTTCGAAAAGAATTTATCATTTTTGTTTTCATCCGAATTTGATGATTAACTGAGATTGTTGTTGTTGTCGTTTTGTTTTTTTTTATCTGTGCACTCGCTGCACTAAAAATAACCTAATGACAGATCTAGATTTAAAGATTTTTCTTTTTTTCTTTTTTTACTTTTCACTTGTCATTGACAGACAGTAGAATATTTTTAGTATTTTTTTCTCCATTTTGATTTTGTTCGTTATAAATCTCCCGTTTTCAGACAAAATCGGTGTGTATGTGTGTGTGTGTTTTTTTTTCACCAGAATTACGACGACCAGAAAATTTAAACTACAATACTGACTTACTGTCATTGACATATTTGTTATACGTTGATATAAATACCAGACTAGAGAAGAAAAAAAAAGAATATAAAAAATAAAATAAAATGGACGAAAATGAAAGAATCATGGATTCTGAATTCATTCATTTACCGCTTGGCATTTTTCTATGCGGCACAGACGAAGAAGAAGAAGAATTAGATTTCACCATTCAGACACACGTTCATCAGGATGATGATGATGATGACTACGAAAAAAAAACTGTCAAAGATATGAAAAAAAAGATGGAAATTTTTTTTCTGTTCAAAGCTTATCGGTTATACGACAGTTTTATGTTCCAAACGAAAAATAACTGTTTGTATGTGTGTATGTCAATCAGGGATGATAATTCAAATCGAGCTCGACACTTTTTTTTCTCTCTCTCTCTCTCACCATTGTCAAATAAAAAATTTTTTTTTGTATCAGACCGAAAATCCTTTTCAAATATGGTAGAGATTTTCATTTTTTTTCCGTTTGCTATCGCTTTAAGAATCTATACATAATTTTTTTTCTGATGAAATTCTGGAATTAAGTAGAATCAGTGCGAATTGAAAACAGAGAATTAAAAGAAAAAGAAAGAAAGAACAACATATATCGGATATTATTTGTTTGAGTATAAATCAGTTAATGCTTATATGATATCGGTGTGTGTGTGTGTATGATCATCGTGTCTTATACAATTTCATTTTACATTTCATCAATTTTTTTCTTCTTTTGTTTCATGCTGGTTATCATTATTATTATTGTTGTACAATTCTGCTGGTACCGTCGTTCAATGTATGTGTGTGTGTGTGTATGTTGTAATCGCCAATCGTCTAGGTTGTTCACAATATATTTGTGTATTGTCAGTCTGAAGAAAGAAAAAAAGAAAAAAAATCCAATTCCCAAAACCTAGAAAAATATTATGAAACCAAACAACAACAACAACAAAAAAGTAAACGATATGACGCGACAACAAACGAATCAAGCATGTAATGGCAAACACACACACACATAGGAAACACTTGAATTCAAACACGAACATGAAAAAATCAAAATAAGATCATCATCGATTTTTGTTTTTCTGATGAAACCTTGTATATATTATTGGTATGTAACAGAATCTACGATGATGATGATAAACAGTGAGTATTATTTGAAATGAACGAGACAACAAAAAAAAAACCGAGAGACTATGATGGAACTGAAAAATTCGTGCCTGTCGTATTCTGTGGAGCCAATCACACACACACACCAAATATCTTGAATAAAGAATTGGTTTTTTTATATTCTATTGAGGCAAATTTTTTTCCCTATTTCGATTCGATTTTGAATTCTATTTATATGCAGATTAACCTCATCAGTATATCTTCTCTCTCAATATTCTAAACACAATTCTAGCCTGTAAATTTGTCTATCTTTTTTTTTCTTCTTCTACGGTTAAATTCGGTTATGGAAAAAAAATCCGAAATTTTCGATCATGTTTTTGTTTCTTGCTTCCCTTATTTGAATATGGTAGCGAAAAAAAAACGAAAAAATTCTGTTACATTTGATATGTGACCATGTCACCTGCTTCAATTATATTATCTTGAATTTTGCAATCGAATTTTGATTCCTTTGCCAAAATAAAAAAAGAAAAAGAATCCTCGTTTATCAATGATCCATGATCATATAATGATGAATATCGGAATATTTTTTTCGCTATAGAATCGCCAAATATGACAGTAAAAAAAAGAATAGAAAATTCATGAAACAATAGACTGAATTTTTTTTCTTTTTTTTGTTTCATTCTCGTTTGCCGTTTTTGAATTCTTTTTTATTTTTTTTTCATACAATGGATTTAAACTATTGAAGTTAACTATTCAGTGTGTGTGTGTGTGTGTGTCATTGTCATTATATTAGGAGACTGAAAAAAAAAGAATCTGGTTCGGTCTATTACCGGATTCTTGTCTGAGTGGAACATGTGTGTATGTGCATTGTCCGCTTATATATTTTTTTTTCTCGAAAAGTTATCGAAATTCAATGAGAATTTTTTGTCTCTCTTTTTTTCCATTCATTCATTCATTCATTCAATGAGAGAGTGATTCGGAATTTCATTCCTAAAACACAAAGAACAATAGACAAAAAAAAAGCTAAAGGAAATAGCTGTATTGTCCAAACCTGAATTTTTTTTTTGGTTCCGATTTTGTTATTGTGGATTTTTTTTTTGTTTGGTTCACTGTCGGCGTGTGTGTGTATGATACCAATAAATTTAAATATATTTAATGTCACATTAACTTTGTTGTTGTTGTTGTTGTTATTATTTTCAATCTTTTGTTATGGTTCCTATAGAATTTTTGTTGTTGTTGTTTGTTTTGTTTTTTGTTTTGTGTGAAGAGATCATCATCATCATCATATTGTTATTTCAAATGAACCGAATAAGAAA